CGCATGGCTTTCCTCCGCACTCATATGCCTTCGCTAATGCTCCGATGTCTCGGCCAGATAGCCTCTTGTTTTTGCAATGAGAACAGCCCTGGGAACTGGAATGGCGTGCGTCCACAGATGTCATTTATGGAGGGACTCAACGGAGACAGAGAGAGCACTTAGGCAACAAAGTTGCAGACCAACTTGCTTCATTTATTTCCGTGGCGAAAGTCTGTTTTTAGTTTGTATTTTCTAGACGGGTTTACCAGTAACTGTGCTTGACAAAATATTAGACTACTGACAACTGGCAAAGAAAAGAAAGGCTCTCGTGCCAGGGCTACCACCCACCGTGTTGAGCCTTGCCTCTTTTTGCTTCACGCACAACTGTAGACAAATAGAAGAGAGTTACGCTTTAAGTAGGCAGGTCGTCTTGTCAGCAAATACAAGGAAAACTGGAATGGCCATTTCTGGCTAATTAGCCGTCGTCTGCCTACTATCAGCTGTTACGGCTCTGAGAGCCTCTGTCGAGTCCAAAGGCAGAGCGGGAAAGATGGGTTCCGCTAGCGGTTAGGTGAACGTTCGTCGACGAGGGTTATCTTGTTGACTCGGCCTTTTTCGGTGATAGGGTTCTTCAAATGGAACCATCAAAATGGGTCCTTGACTACTTATAGTCCTTACAACAATACGGTGAGCTCCTGCCTGTTTATTCAAGCAAGCCTGGATTTCCAGCCCAAATGTAGTCTTCTCACTTCGGCCACTTCATTTTGATCAGGCGATTGTCGCCTTCGCGAATGAATTCGCCCTTTTCGATTTTCAGTAACTGCCGATGTATATATCGCAGTGGGTTAAGTTGATAGGGAAAACCATTGCCGCTGCGATCTTCAGGCCCTGGCTCCGTGTGGAAAGAGAAGAATCAAGACGCCAGACGGGAGAAATAGCGCATTCTGTGTAGAGGTAGTGGAGAATAGGTAGGAGGAAGTTAACTGTCGGACAAGTGCACAACCACTCATGAGAGGGCCGGTGTCCGAAGTGTGCCAGTTTGGCAATCATGAAAGCGTTTACAGAGCTTTCCTTGTGTTAATCAGCCCTGAAGGTGATTGGCCAAGTGGAATGGGGTTGGCCTACAAGTGCGCGCATGCCATTGGCCGTGTGAGGCAAGATGTTGAGCGTTGACGCTATTTGCGGTACATGTGATTAATTGTCCGAGCGTCGGGTCGAAACTTGCAATCACGTGACCTCATTCTTGGCGCCGGAGGTGAAGACAATAGGCATGCACTACCAGCCGCCTAAGTGAAATTTGAAAAAAAACGGAAATTCCACGCTGCATTACACCCGTTTCTGTTGACAGCTAAAACCCCGAATGTTTGGGTTTATAAATAAGGAGTGCGTTCGATCATGTAACTAAATGCCATCCGGTATGGTTCCAAAACTGACGCTTCAAACCCTGTCAGCATTGGAATTAGCTGCTTTTCATGTTATAAGTTCCGGAAATTACGAACTGTTCACAGTGGGAAGACCTTAGTCACAGGATATCCTATTCAGAAGTTATCCGGTTGTTGGCATTTCGTACTCCTAGGTACCTAATAAATAATTTCTACTGAATGGAGTTAAGGGTTGCGGTTAATACCACCTTTCGATCTGTGTTCAGTACATGCTGGCTGAAGTCCCTGTGCTCCCGTAAGCAGTTATATGCTTCACGAATTTGCACTCTTTAATTTACGTCTTTAACGAGGAGGTTAGAGAATAAATCTCTACCGTTATCCGAGTCAAATGATTGTCTCGGCAAATGAGTCTGATTGAGCCTGCGTGCCCTTTAACTTTTGTCTCATGAATAGGAAGCCGTGTTGCGATCACTTTTAAACTTAGAAATGGACGCCCAAGGAAATTTGCTTTTTTGAACCTGGGAGTAAGTTGTTCCGCATGTAAATTGAAGCCTCTGGAAGCCTGACGCGTGTATTTTGTTTCTGGACTTATATATAACTACTGTAGTTATGTCATTGCACATATTAAAGTATATCATACTCAGAGACTATTTGTCCTGTCCTTGCAACTGCCATGGCCCAAATCAGGCTGCAAAGGACAAAACTAACATTTTCTACAATACCTTACACGACATGTCCACGTGCGCTTAGAATTTATGAATAAAGTGCATCCTGCCTACAGATTTACCCGCGGTCTCTGTGCGCTTGCTCGCAGCGAATCTATTTTAATCCCTCCAAGGTCATCGTTCCTTGGCTCACAAGTTTAGTTTTGCTAACAAGAACTCAGAACTTGTTTTAAGGGAACAGGACTTCCCTCGAAGGCATACGTTATCCGCTCTGAGGCATCAGGGAATGTTAATTTATTCTCAATTTTCTTTAGATTCTCAATAACGTCAGCCAATCAAGCAGAAGATGGTATTGGAACTTTGCACTGAGGATGTATTTGTTTTAAACCTTTGCAGAATGTTTAGTGCAGGAACCGAGGGGTGCTGGGACAGAGGATAAAACTCGTCTAAAAATGCTGTTGTTTAGCGCTATAAAACCAAAATTGGCTTCATTGAGGGACCAAATACGTACTCCGTTACGGCTTCAGGCACGCTAGATAAGTGGTTTCCAAGGTCATAGTGTCCTATCCGCACGTGTTCTATGATGTTTTTTGCGGCAGCGCCATATCCAATAGCAGAGAAGAGGTGCATCCTGGAACTCAATGAGGAAGGGAGAGGCGCGACTGCTGGAGTAAGTTGTATTAGCCTGACTTTTGTAAAGTTGCGAAAATTCCCATTACAGAATTCAAGGGAGTAGTTAGCCAGCCTACGTAGGCTTTCGCTAAATTCTCATCGTGCCAGTACAAGTTTGTATTTTCGTATAAGTGAGTCGTGGGAATAGGGGAGAGTGGTCGGTAAGCGAAGACTGGTTACGAGGGCAGGGTTTGGTGGAGCCAGTCTGAGG